GAGGGGACACACAGACGGGTCAGGGGACACACAGACGGGTCAGGGGACACACAGACAGGACACACAGACAGGACACACAGACAGGACACACAGACAGGACACACAGACAGGACACACAGACAGGGCATAGGACACACAGACAGGACACATAGACAGGGCAGAGGACACACAGACAGGACACACAGACGGGTCAGAGGATGCACAGACAGGTCAGGGGACACACAGATGGGTCAGAGGACACACAGACAGGACACACGGACAGGGCAGGGGACACACAGACGGGGCAGGGGACACACAGACAGGTGAGAGGACGCACAGACAGGTGAGAGGACGCACAGACAGGACACACAGACAGGGCAGAGGACACACAGACGGGTCAGGGGACACACAGATGGGTCAGAGGACACACAGACAGGACACACAGACGGGTCAGGGGACACACAGATGGGTCAGGGGACACACAGACAGGGCAGAGGACACACAGACGGGTCAGAGGACGCACAGAGAGGGCAGAGGACACACAGACAGGGCAGAGGACACACAGACAGGACACACAGATGGGGCAGAGGACACACAGACGGGTCAGAGGGTGCACAGACAGGTCACACAGACAGGTCAGGGGACACACAGACAGGGCAGAGGACACACAGACAGGGCAGGGGGCTGGAATTGGATGGTCTTTAAGGCCCCTCCCAACCCAAACCATCCCGGGACTTTTATCCCAAATATTTATCTGAGCTCCCCCACTCCCTGGAACCTTTCCGAGGCTCCTCTCTCAGTTTAACGGGATTAACCAACCAAATGAATCCCTCTGAATATCTCCAGTGCTCATCCTAACGAGCCATTAGAGCTCCTGCAGCTCTGATTTCAGACACATCCTCACCAAAAACATCCTGGTGGTGCTGGCCTCCGAGCTCAGGGCAGGGTTGCAGCTGGCCAGGAGGTGGATTTGGGTCAGGAGCTGAACGTGCTGGAAGAATTAAAAAAAAAAAAAAATCACACAAAGTGAGGGTTTTTTCAGCGCATCAGAAATCAAAAAACTTGAAAAGCACAAGTGCAGGGCACCCCAAAAAACCCCTGTCAGCAAAACACCTTTTGAACAACAGAGAACTGAGGGGAATGTTTGACACCCACCAAGTTTATGACACAGATTTTGAATCCACTGTCTGTGTAATCTCAGGGCAGTTTCCCAGGTTTTGTGCCAAAACCTCACAACCAAAACAACCCACACAGAGAGGACTTTTTAATTTTTTTTCCCCCTAAATAAACACATCTCTAATTTCTTCAGCAGCCTGAGCTCTCAGAACTGCCCATTTCTGAATTTTCACACAGATTTTTTCGCGGTGGGAGGGGGAGAAAAAAAGAAGAATCTAAATTAGATCAGGAATAATATTCTCAGACAGTGATAAAGAAGGTGTTGAAAAGAGAGGATTTGGACAGACAGTAATAAAGGAGGTGATGAAAGCAGAGGATTTGGACAGATCAGAGTCAGGATTCCAAGGTGGCCAAGGCCATCCCACGTGAGAAGAGATGGCCAGAAAGCAGCTCTGATTCACACACTCAATTCTAATTGTCCTTCCATGTGCAATCAAGGCTGTGAATATCCCTAAAAACACCCAGGTTCAGCTTTTCCAAGGAATTCCTTTAAGGAAGCCAAGCCTTGCTGTGCCCTTGGCCCCCCCAGCAAAGGTTCATCAGCTCAGGCCACCCCACATTTAATTAATGAATTAATTACCTGCTGCATTTGCTGCTGGAGCCTCTTCCTCTGGGCACTGTCCAGGACAAGGCTCTGCAGGGGCCTCTCGCTTGGGGGTTTGGATTTTTCAGCCTCCTGGGGGGGTTTGAGGGAGGATTTTTTCATCCTCAGCTGCTCCAGCTGCTCCTTCACCGTCCGGTGCTGCTCGTTCAGCAGGTTGGCCAGAGGTTCCTCGAACCTGTTTGCAGCCAGGGAGAGCAAAATACAACAACCCAGGGCTTAAAAACCCTTCCCACTGATCCAGGATATTTTACTCTACCTGGGATTCATCACAGTTCATTCACTGTGCTCCTCAAATACTCCCCAATTTGAAAAACACCCAGTTATTTACACTGGGTAAGTCTTCTGACCCAACCTTGCACTGCTGATCGTCTCCCCAAGGTATTTTTGGGTGGCATTTTATCACCTGGAGGGTCTCCAGAAAGACCTCAGGCTGCTCCAAAAGCTGTCACTTTATAAAAAAAAAATGAACAAATTAATTACCACTCAGCTTTATGCAGAGGACTCTACTAGAGACCCTACAATAAATAGCAGAAAAGAGGATGTACTTGCCATCACCCTTTCAAAAACAGTTTCAGCTATCCCCTGCTTTACATATGACCTAATTTTTATCTATTTTATTTTAGCTACACCAGTTAATACCCTGATTTCTGCTGGTTATCAGCCTCCCTTCTCCAACAGGCCTGAAGTCAGTTGTAAGTCAAGTTATTCCGTGATGCTCCTAATGCAGGGTGTCATAAAAACAACAACAGACCCGGCAAATAAAGGTGTTTTATGGGACATCTAAAAATCCTGTGTGCAAATAAAACCAGGGAAGAAACAATTGCAGAACTGCCCACCAAGGAAAAACCAATAAAACGCCCCGTTATCAAACCCAAATGTATAAAAATCAAACCCAAATGTATAAAAATCAAACCCAAATGCATAAAAATAATAAAAGAGAGAATAAAGCTTCCTGGCTTTTCAGCCTGTAGCTGGTTTTGCAGTTGCTGCTCTCCCCTCTGGCACTGCTCATCCCAGAGGGAGCATCCAGGAACTCCAGCCTTCACTTTAGCTCCCTTCCCAAACAGACACAGCTGCACCTCGAGCTGCTCTGCCCCATAAACAAGGAGACCCCCCCCTGCTCCTGCAGCCCCCCCTTTCCAGAGCCTGCAGCTGGTCAATCCAGAGGGATTGTCACCCAGAAAGAAATCATGGAATGGTTTGGGTGGGAAGGGACTGAAAGCTCCTCTCATTCCACCTCCCTCTAGAGCAGGTTGCTGCAAGCCCCGTCCACCCCAGGGATGGAGCTGCTTTAGCCTCTCTCCTCTTCAAGGTGCTGTTGAACACAACCCAAAAATCATCAAAAGCCAATTTCCAAGCTTTAGAGTCGCTTCATTCCCAGCCCTCAGCTGTCCCAGGCCTCGTTTTCCATGGAAAGGCCAACATCACATCCAAGTTATTCACTCAAACTGAAGGTGACACACTTGGTCAAGCCCTCAGGTGTCCCTCCCTTGCCACCCCAAACCCACCAGGGCAGCAAGTGAACCTCACCCTCCCCTTTAAGAAGATGAAAATTCAGATTGGATGTTACAAAGAAACCCTTCCCTGCCAGGCTGGGGGAACTGCCCAGGGAATTATGGATTCCCCACCCCTGGAAGTGTCCCAAGGCCAGGTTGGAGCAACCTGGGCTAGTGGAAGGTGTCCCTGCCCGTGGAATTAGTTGATCTTTTAGGTTCCTCCCAACCCAAACTGTTCTGTGAGGGCAGGGCAGGGTTGCAGCTGGCCAGGAGGTGGATTTGGGTCAGGAGCTGAACGTGCTGGAAGAATTAAAAAAAATAAATCACACAAAGTGAGGGTTTTTTCAGCGCATCAGAAATCAAAAAACTTGAAAAGCACAAGTGCAGAGGCCACTGCACTTTCCCTGCCCATGGAATTAGTTGATCTTTTAGTTTCCTCCCAACCCAAACTGTTCTGTGACTCCCTGTTCAGCACAGAGGTAAAGAAGGAGGGACAGGATCCTCCTGCCTTGTTGGGAACTGTCACCACTCTGAGAGGCCTTGGCTGCTTCCACTGAGCTGCTTCCACTGAGCTGCAGCACCAATCTTGGAGTGCAGACACCCTTCTGAACGTGTCTCTCTCTGAAAGGACACGTTGTCACCACTGTCACCTCCTCCAGATGCATCACAAGCAGCAAAGTTAAACGCGGCACCCACAAAAAAAAAGAGGGTCGAGTGTCCAATCCGTGCCCAACCCCACAAATAAAACATCCCAGAGCTCTCTGAGCTGCCCAGGCAGCTCCTCTCTTTTCCCCCACAACCAAAGGCTCCCACCTGAGGGCCTGGGGGGTGTTGAAGCTTGGCCTGGACTCGGTGACAGCATCTTCATCCTCGGGGCCTTCATCCTCCATGTGGGAGAAACCCATCTCGTCCTGGAACTGCAGAGAACACGGAGTCACAGCCCCAGGGAGCACATTCAGCTAATAAAGCTCAGGAAGAGCCTCTCAGCACAGACATTTCCCTCTCCAGGCACTTCAGGAAGTTCCTACAGACGATCCCAAGCCTGAACCGACCCTGTGGCCTCCCCAGAGCCCAGCCCTTGGTGCCTCCCCTCATCTCATGTCACATCCAACAGCTCTTCCCCTCAGCTCATCACTTACTGTCTCAAACAGCTCCTCCATCAGTTCATTCACTTCCTTCTCTGCAAGCAAAAATCAAAAAGAAGTGTGAATATTCCTCTTCTGAGACATACTCAGCAATCCTGTCATGATATTAAGTCATCTAAGGAATTTTCCTCACAAAGGGAAACCCTCTTCTAGCAGAGAGGACCAAAAAGGAAAGGCCCCTGATAATTCCCTTTTTTAATTCTGGGCCAAAAATACTTCACTGAGATTGTTTGGATTCAAAAATACAACGTAAAACCTCATTTTCGCAATGAAACTCAAAGTGATGTTAACCCGTAATAACACCTGAAGGAAATGTGGTTTGCTGCAAAGGTGGGAAGTGGTATCTTTATAAAATAAGCTGAAGACTGAGAGGACTCAGAGAAAATTTAATTGCACTCAAGAACGAGGCAAACATTCAAGTTTGAACTGGCTGAAGCTTTCAGGTTTATTGTCACCACCTAAATATTGCTGCTCAGGCCTTGCTGTGGGGTGAAGCTCCCACAAAGCCAAAAGCTGCAGATTTTAATCACCTTACACTGCAGAAATCCTTGAATAAAACCCTTCCCCACATGAATTATGAGCCAGGAGGGGAGGATTCCCCAGGATTCCCCAGGAACTCACTGGTGATCCTCACGGCCCGGTCGTTCCTGAAATCCTCCGTGTCCGGCTCGTCCAGATCCTCCAGGAAGTTGTACTCGGGGTCATCATCATCATCAGCTTCATCTGAGGGGAAGCACATCTGGGGATGTCACTCCCCTGCCCCCAGGACCACCCAGGAGCACTTTGTTCCCTGCCTGATTTGGCCCAGGAAGGGCTGGAATTGCTGCCTGTCCCATTTTACAGAGCCAGCTTGACTCCCTGGCACCCGAGTTTCACCAAAGTTTAGTTTCACACATGATTTCCACACATGATTTCAGTTTGTGTTTTATATCCAATTCCCTGGAACCAGCCGTAGGCAACCAGCAAACACAGGAGGAACAGGAGGTTGAGCCCCAAAGCTCGTCCCTGTTCTTTCCCAAATAACAAAAAGCTGTTTCTCCCCAAACAGATCCCTCTCAAGGAGCAGGACACACTCGGGTTCAGGGGTAGATGCTCAGGGGGTTAAACCCACCCCTTTCCTTTGTGCTGGACAGTAAATATTTACAAGTGAGGCCCCTGAGGGTTGAAAACTCTCACCAAGAGAGTTTTGGGGTCTCCACCAAGGTCCCTGGGGGAGGTGAGGGAAGCTGGGGGCAGGCAAAGCTCACGAGGACATCAAGGATAAACAGGAAACAAAGCTTTGGGCTTTCAACACAAAATCACAGGATGGCTTGGGGTGGGAGGGACCTTAAAGATCATCTTGTTCCACCCCACTGCCATGGGCAGGGACACCCTCTGCTAGCCCAGGTTGCTCCAATCCTCATCCAACCTGGTCTTGGACACTCCCAGGGATCCAGGGGCAGCCACAGCTTCTCTGGGCAACCTGTGCCAGGGCCTCCCCACCCTCACAGGGAGTAATTTTTTCCCAATATCCCATCTAACCCTGTCGGTTTGAAGCCATTCCCCCTTGTCCTGGCCCTCCAAGCCCTTGTAAACAGCCTCTCTCCATCCTTCCTGGAGGCTCCTTCGGGTCCTGGAAGGCCACAGCCGGGTCACCCCGGAGCCTTCCCTTCTCCAGGCTGAACAATCCCAATCTTCCCAACCTTTCCTCCCAGCAGAGGATCACCAGGAAAGGTGATCCCTGCTCACCTTGGTGTCTCTGGACTGGTTCATGTCCAGCCTCTCCCCCAAACCCTCCTCCCTCTGCTCATCCCCAGCCCGGATCCACCCCGGGCGTCGCCGCGACGCCGGCGCAGCCCCAGCCCTCGATTTATCAAACCCCAAAACCCCCAAATCCAGCGAGCAAACCCCATCAAATCCACCACCTCACCTTCGTTCTCCACATCATCGTTCATGAGCCCCCCCAGCCACCTCTTCCACTCCTCGTCGTCGGCCGTGTTGGGGTCGTACATGTCGGGGGTGATGTCGGGCGCGCGCAGCTCGGCCTCCAGCTGCCCCAGGGGCACGTCCTTCAGGGGCCTCTTGGAGCGGGTCCTGAAGGCGATCAGGCTGTCCTCCAGGGGCTGCAAGGGGCAAGGACACCGTGGGCACCACGGCCCTGCCCTCCCCAGAGCCCAGCACAGGCACCACC